GACGTAATTTCCCGCGCTTACTTATTTTCCACCAACATGTGCATGCTAACATGAACACAGAGAAGAATACTATTATATTACATAAATAACATTCACTAAGTAAAAATAACAGTATAGTTACTAACAACAATACAACTATATCTAAATAGCATCAGCAATAGCATAATAAATAGAAAAATTGGTATTTATGACGATGATGATGATGAAGATGATGATGAATGATGATGATGATGATGATGATTGATGATGATGATGATGATGATGATGATGATGATGATTGGAAAAAATTTTTGAAAAAAAAAAAAAAATGATGATGATGGTGATGATGATGATGATAGATGATGGTGGATGATGATGATGATGATGATGAATGACGGTGACGGTGACGGTGACGGTGACGGTGACGGTGACGGTGACGGTGACAGTGACGATGACGATGATTATATATGATTATTAGGATTATTAGGATAACAATCACCATCATCATCATGATAAAGATAAGGATGAGGATCATGACAATGAAAATGATGAAAATGATGATGGTGATGATCATGATAATGAATAATAATAGGGGTGGTGGTGATGGTGATTATGATGATTATGATTATGATTACAATTATCATTATCATTATTATTATTATTATTATTATTATTATTATTATTATCATTATTACTATTATCATTATTACTATTATCATTATTACTATTATCGTTCTTGCTATTATCATCATTATTATTATATTGTTTCATAATTATCTATATCTTATCAACATTATTTCTATTATATTATCAGTACAGTATTTAAACAAAAGAGAAAATATAAATAAGAATAATGGCAAACTCATTAATCAAACTATATTATAAAAAAAAAAGCATTTGCAATCCTTTCAGTAAAAAAAATAGATCAACCTTGCGAACTGCCTCCTGGCAGGCGTCAATGAAGGATACCTGTGCCGTCCCTCCGTCCACGCCTGCATTGCTCGTCATCCTTTTTCCACGGGATGTCGATGCAAATGGGATTCCCTTTCATCTTATTATACTGCATAAGAAAAAGGATAACAAGAAAGACATTATTATGGTTTATCAGACCAAGTTCACATACATACTCCATCTATCTATTTACTTATAAAGGGAATCAAAGAAGATATACTTTCCAAGGAAAATGAGTCACACAAGCAAATCCTCGTCGAAAAGAGACACAAGAAAAAGGCATCATGTGCAGTAAGAAGTTTTTTGGATTGATATGCACGTCAGAACTGCTTTTCAGAAGACAGTTACACGAGTTCTACCAATGAGCTTATACTTATAGGTGGATCCGCAAGTATTAATCACCTAGGAGCTAATATTTGGTACTACCTTATCCACATGTTTACTATTTTTCCTTGAATTTTTGTCCAATATTTCATTTTGTATTTTAGAATCCTATTATTTAATTTTGATACACATTGGATAATTATAATGTCTAAAAATAACAACAGCATCAATATTTGATGGCATTAGTTAAAAAAAAAAAAAGGAAAACCGAAAACTTATGGAAAAGGGAAATCAGGTGAAAAGCAAGGTCTACTAATTTGACTGGATTTGCAGCCATCTACTTGTTAAGGTTTTGTGGTCCTGACTCAAAATGTTAAATTAACGATTGGAATATTTCTACCAATGCTCAGGGGTATGAATACTTCAAGTAAGCTTAACATTTGAGATGCATATTGGACCAAAATGGTGTTCTATGGCCTGTTCATATCAATTTAATTTGTACAATTACAAGTAAAATAAACAAGTACCCATTTTGTTACCTTACATACTATTTCTAATGTATGCTCTCCTGACAGTATATAAGAAGCCATACCTAATCCTTTTTTTCCAATAGTACAATAAATAAGGCAGGCCAGTAGACATACCTTGTTTATCAACCCCCCAAGATGCAAACCTTCCAACTTGTCTGGCTGTCCCCTTTCACTGTAGCACTGTTTTGTGAACTAATTTTATACAAAGATTTTCTCCCAAGCGTTTCAGGTCCTACAAGGAGTCAATCAGTGGAGCACATACGTCACCTTTTTCACTTGAATAAGTTTGGGGATTTTTTTTTTCTTTCTTTCTTTACTATGCTCCATATCAACGATACGATCATTATCACAGACATTATAATCATTATACGGTTACTGATATTACTAATAGCAATATTAAATAGAAAAAAATATTTCCAGAAAAACAAGGCAAAGGGTAAGCAGGGAAGATAAGGGGTATTAATAACTGTTGAAAAAGATATTAATACAACTAAACTCACAGTGGGTTGGCATGTAACTTGAACCCATTGCCGCCGGGGATGGCATGACGTACATGCGCATGCCTACTGTGAGCCGACTTGTTCGATTGTTTTTTACACATAGATAGCTACCACTTACTAAGTATCCAATGAAGCCGATTACGAGTACTGCCTGTCTCAACCCGTTCCCCCTTTTTCATCGTTACGAAATATTTTAACGTTATCCTAATTTGCTGTTAAAAATAACACCATCTATATTTATAGCACTAGTAAAAATACGCTTTTTTCCCGGCCAATTCAAGGGAAGGGGAAATCAGGACTAGCAGAAGCCATCTATGGACAAACATTTTAACAAAATATAAAAAATGAGTACCAGTATTTCCCCCATTTTTTGTTCATTTTCCACGGGCAACAGCAATGGGTTAAGCATCAAACCCCAGCGGCACAGGTTGTCACCTTCCAAACTTTTTAAATTTGGCACGAGTATTCACTGTTTTATGGGAGGATATATCTAATGGGTTTTAAATTTGGCACAAGTATTCACTGTCATGGAGGAATATAATCTCATTGGTTTAAATTTGGCACAATTATTCATTGTCATGGAGGAATATATCTAAAGGGTTTTTATTTGGCACAAGTATTCCATTGTCATGGAGGAATATATCTAAGGTTTTTATTTGGCCAAGTATTCATTGTCATGGAGGAATATATCTAAAGGTTTTTAATTTGGCACAAGTATTCATTGTCATGGGAGAATATACCTAATGGTAGAATCTACACTTATTTTCCAATAGTGTTTCCGGCAATAAATTCCCTTCTAATATAAGACATTTTCGGAATGACTAAGCACTACTCACAGCTTCGTTGTTGCAGACATGCAGTAGAAGAACCACGCAAATGAGCTAGCCGTCAGGGAATGGAAAGGTGGTTTTAATCTCCTTGTGTAGCTGCGAATATATGTCTTGATATTCCAGTAAAATCTAACAATGATTTAAAAAAAAATTAGTATGAATTCCTGCACATTATTGTTACTGACAGGTAGTATGTACACTTCAATTCTAAAACCATTAACTGGGGTGGCAACAAGAACAATCTGTCTCAGTTATTTATTATCACAATTACCTAATTACCTAATTTTGGTTTGTTAGAAATTTGAATAGTATCGACACACATGCACCCATACACCCATATGCACGCACTAACACCCACCCCAGCCCACACCCACTCATGCTCATCCTCATCCTCATTCTCTCTCTGTCTCTGATTCTGTCTCACTCACTCTCACTCTCACTCTCACTCTCACTCCCACTCCCACTCCCACTCCCACTCCCACTCCCACTCCACTCACAACTCACAACTCACACTCACACTCACACTCTCTCTCTCTCTCTCTCTCTCGTCTCTCACTCACTCTCCCACTCCCACTCCCACTCCCACTCCCACTACCCACTCCCCACTCCCACTCTCACTCTCACTCTCACTCTCACTCTCACTCACACTCTCTCTCTCTCTCTCTCGGTCCCCATCTCTCTCTCTCTCTCTCTCTCTCAGCTCACTCACCACTCACTCACTCACGTCACTCTCTCTCTCTCTCTCTTTCTCTCTTCTCTCTCTCTCTCTCTCTCTCTCTCTCTCACTCTCACTCCACTCCTCACTCTCACTCTCCTCTCACTCTTCACTCTCACTCTCACTCTCACTTCTCACTTCTCACTCTCACTCCACTCTCATCCACTCTCCTCTTAGACCCCTAATTCATAAGTCTGTTAGATGCAGAAAGATATTCTGCATATGCTCTTATGGACAAAAGACAACACATATTCATCATGATCCATCTTCCAACTCCCAGTATGTTCAAAAATTCACTTCAAGAACTACAACTTTATTTATGAAGGGGCTATCAGTTTTCAAAGCATAACACAAGGAACCATTAGGAAAGACATTTCTGAGCATTAGTTGACACCCTATTAAAATTTGATTAACTTTTCAAGATTTTTGGATCATCTTATTTTATTGCAGAGAATTTTTAATACTGTATTATATATCGTAATCGAGGCTTCAATCCTAGGCATTATTTTCTGACACATCCCCCCCCCCCCAAGAAATGATGGGCCCCACTATAGATAAGTTTAACATAACTCAATTTTATTTTTTTCATTTTCTACTTTCAAAAACTCTGAGAATACCACTGAGAAAATCAAAATCCACATCAAACCATAACAAATGCAAACTGTCATGGTGAAATGAATAAATATGTCACAGGGAAGAGAAAGACTGGGCAGACTTGCAGACCAGCTTCGTGTAAAAGTGGGTAACCGACCACTACTGCCATCCTTGAAAACTTTTGGGCCTTTGCAATTTAAAGTGCACGACATTCTCATGATCTATCCATTATTGAGCTCCATTGTTCAAGTAAGCAATGAAAATGGTGAAATGCGACTTTTTTCCTTTCTTCTCTTTTCTTTACACACTTCTATAATCTATGTAAGAGTGATTAATACTCACTTTACAGACTGACAGTAATAAAGTAACAATTATCAAAGTTCCTAAGTAGGTTGGAAATAAAGAGTATACTAAACTATATTATCATATCTTACATATGATTTCACTTCATTTTCTACTGACTGCACATCTAAAAAATTGTCACAAGATACAAAATCATACATAAAAATGGTCTTTCCAGACCACAAATAAAAACAAAGAACAACTCGAAACTTTTCAAAGACTATACCACATCACAATGCTAGAAATATGCATCACTCACCTTCTTGACGGAAGGCCATCCAAATCTCAGACGCAGCCGCATACTCATAGGTTCACCAAGATCTCTGGGTTTACCTGGTTCGGTAAATGTACAGTCCCTGGGGAAAAAGCGTACCTTAAATTCTCACCCTTTTTATTAGCCCTAAATGACCGAACAAAAACACATGCAAGAGCAAACTGAAAGCATTCTATTTGCTCTTTTTGGAAATGCCTTCTTCTCATTATCTATACTGTATTAATAATAAAATATAGACCCTTGTGTATAATTTTTAACAATAGCTATAAATATGCAAAAACGTATCATATCTAATAAATAATTCAAAAACTGAATTTTATACAGTTTTTGACTTACCTAAAAGATAGCTTTCTATACATGATAATCACAATAATCACATTCGGATCAATGATTCCTCTCTACTCAGAGGATATACCTAGAAATTATTCTGCACTCTGAGAGCACAAACCTCATCGAACCAAGACCCAGACTAAGCTGCAAAGGAGAAAGAGAAAGAGAAGAGAAAGAGAGAAAGAGAAAGAGAAGACAAAAAAAAGAACTATCCCAGTTACAAAATAATCAGTCTACCCTAAAGCAAATCCATTTTCTGTACAGTTCCATAGATGGGAGCATTACTTAATTCCATCTTTGATCGATTGCTAAAATCTGATTATCCATATAATGTAAAAAGAATGGCATAAATTCCACAAAAAAATTACCACACATCAGTGAGACAATGACCTTTTCTTAACTTGGAATCATATTTTACATACAAAAATGTGAAAGAGACATCCCAAGTACGAGACCCTCAGCCTCCTCCCTAAAAGCTTTCACATTCTATTCAAACCATCCAAAAATACGTTTCTTGGAGCAGAGGAAAAGAACGCCTTTAATTCCTCTCATGCCAGACACACACACGAAAGAATCATGCCTAAGAGGGTTAAACGTATTGTCTTATTTTCTCAAATACTAAAAGCTTTCTCCTCAAAACCTTCATTTCTCTTCTGCAGGTGTGCTAAAGGGCAGCCGTCTCTCCGCCAACATAGCTTATTCTTCGTCGCATTCCTTATTCCAAACCAAGTTCCCCGGGTGTTGGGATGTGAGGACATAGCTGAAAATAAGTCTATTTTCATCTCTCCCATCTTTTCTATTCAAAGAGTTCTTTCAGATATCTACAACCAAAATTCCAAACATTCCAGGTATGATCAACGTAACTTGCCTCCGAAAGTAACTCATTTCTAACAAGTACCAAGAACGCTCAAACAAGACAAAGACCTACGTATCAACTAAGAAATCATCCTACCTGCAACTTCATGGCAAGTTCATCTGAAATTTCCCAAAAATGACATCCCCCGTCTCCCCCACTTGACGTCAGTTAACTCTGGCCTTTTGGGAGGACCTAATACTGCTGACACTTGCGCATAAAAACAATGTAAAGAATTAATGAGGAAATACTATCACATTGATTAATAGTGAATTTCCTACCATTCAGAAAAAAGTTATTCTATTATTAGAGTGAACAGAGACAGAGACAGAAACAGAGAGAGAAGAGAGAGGAGGAGATGAGGATGAGGATAGATGAGGATGAGCATGAGTGGTGTGGGTGGGTGTTAAGGGTGGGAAGAGGAAGGGAGAAAGTGAAGAGGTAAAAGGAAAAAAGAGGACAGAAAAATAGAAAATGATAGAAAGAGAAATAAAATAAAATATACAGAAAAAAAGACAACCAAAGTAAGAATGAGAGATGGAGACTAGAGAGACAGATAGATAGGAACCACAGACTAAGAAAAATTAGGCCTACAGACAGACAGACAGAGAATGCTAGAAAGGAGATAAAAAAAAAAAAAATACACAAGAGGAATTCAATGGTTTTATTTTTCATTAAGTGCTTATTCTATTAGATATTCCAAAAGCCCTAAGAAAAAAGCACAAGAAGAATTCTGGCATTATGATCCCATTCATTACCCCTTTCCCGACGGGGATGGCATGAACCGTACATGCCATGAACATGTAAAGTTTACATTTTTTGATTTGGTTTTTTTTACACATAGATATGGCTACACTTGTACTAAATCACCAATGAGCCAGAGTTATCAATTTTCGAAAATATTTTACTTTATCTTAATTTGGCTATTACTAATGTTTATAACATTATATTAATCATAATGTTTATAAAGAAATAAACCCATCGATATTCACAGCATTAGTAAAAATTGTATATTTTTCCGCCAATTCAAGGAAAAGGTGACAAATCAGGTAAAGCAGAGCCCTCTTGTGTAAGACTTTTCACAAAAAATATTAAAAAAGAGCAACGCATTCCTCCCCCTTTCTTATTCATTTTCCCCTTCGGCCAAAGGTTAAAAAACCTAAAAAATGCAGAGAATTACCACAAACATGTTCGTAGGTCAAGAGGTGGCTGACCTCCATTATTCAATAATCTCAATGGAACCCAAAGGGTGTGAGGAAAATTCCTCCAACCGATCTCTATCCCGAGCTCTTTGCACTGACTGCGTACCTGATTGTCCCGTGTTATTCCATATCGCCTCAGTCCTGAAAATGTATGTAAAGTCCCTTTAACAACTTGCACTTGTCACATTCCAAATACAAGAATTCTACTGTTTTCATTTCAAATATCTGTTTTGTCTGTCTGTCTGTTGTTTGTCTAGCTGTCTTGTCGCTGTCTTGCTGTTTGTTATCTATCTATCAGTCTGTCTGTCTGTCTGTCTGCTGTCTGTCTGTGCTGTCTGTCTGTCTGCTGTTCTCACTCCTCATCATTCAACCAGCTCCTTTCTCTTTTTTGCCACCCACTCATTTTCTATATGCCATCTACTATCACTTCCTTCTCTTCCCCTCCCTCCCAACCCCTTCTCC